TTTCTCAAAGCTGTCGATGGGCTCTGACGCCCGCGGCCGAGGGCCGGCGCGGGGCTCTCTGCTCTCGCTGCCTGCTCGCCCCACGCGGCAGGTCTCGCATGCAAAGCAGAGGGAAAAAAGGGCGAAATTCAACCAGGGTGAGCCCCGCAGAGCTCTTCGATGGTGCCCCAGCGACCCGCGGGCCGGCTCCTCTCCCAGCAACGAGGGGTGGGAAGATGGGAGGGAGGGGAGACGTGTCCTCCTTGGGAGGGTCAAAAAAGGCTCTGGACAGCCCCGCGCACCAAGCGCAGAGCTGGATACCCAGGATGTCCCAGGTACCCGCTGTACCCCCACAGGAGAGGGGACCACTAATACAGGCTCCAAGCACGGGCAGCACCCGAGCCGCCGCCCCCCCTGCCGCCACCGTGAGCTCAACCAGGGGAAAGCGGAGCAAAACCAGAGCCCAAACTGGTGCTCAGTTCCACCCCAAAGCTGCACTGGGACCGCGTTCAACCGAGAAAACCCCGCTTTGTCCAACAGTCAGGGAGCAGGAGACTCCAACCGCTCAGCTGGCAATTACTGACCAGGCAAATTGCAGGGCTGGGACATGAGCTGGGAATCATGAAAGCAGAAATAACAAGGTGGGTCCCGCGAGAGATCAAAGCGGCGCGTTGCAGAAGACGGGCGGCACCCCGGCTCCCGTCAGAGCCGCGATTGCAGAGAGCCAAGAGCCCCGGGCACTCGCTCCGGAGCCTCGGCGCAGCGGGGATGCTGCTGACACACAGCTCGCAGGCAGCCCCTGCTCCCGGGAATCCCGGGAATCGCGGCCCTCCGTAAGCGACGTTAATGACAGCAATAAGTCTCCTTGTTACGGGGGTGCCATTAAATGCGTTCGCCTGACGCGGCGCTGGCACCTCTGGCCGGTGCCACCTCTCCCACTGTCCCCCGTCATCCCGCTTGGCACGGGGTGCTGCCGGGAAGTCGGCCCCTTCCCCTGCCGCAGGGGAAAGCTCTTCCCAGCCCTGGCTCCCAGGCTCAACGGTGGGAAAAACAGAGCCGGGTCTCCCATGAAATGAATATTCGGGACCATTTCAGACGCAGCTGGGAGGAGCATCCGCTCGGACTGGGAAGTAGGAAGCACTTGGAGGTGGGAAGCAGGGGCACCCCCCCGCAGGACCCCCCCTGGGGAGATGAGGACCCACTCTGAGGGATCTTGGGGGGGGATTTACCCCAAGCAGGGGCAGGGTTGACCCCCAAGGGGGGTGGGGGGTGTCCTCTGGCATCTCAGCTGCTGAAGCAAGGCCGGCACAGAGCTGTGCAGCCCCATCCCGTGGGAATGAAGACCCACCGGACACCAGTTTCCCCATTTCTTCCTACGTTGGAGGAAACCCAGCACCGAGCATCCTGCGCCTGCACCGAGGGCGAAAAAGGACACCAAAATGGGGCAAATTTAGAGGGAAGAGGGTCATGCTGAACACACTCGCAATGGGGCCGAGGGTGAGGAATCGCAACTTTAAGCAGCTTTGGGCAGTCGAGAAGCGTTTGTGGGGCAGAGCATCTCCCCCAGCCCCTTCTCCCACCCCAACAGCATCGCTTGGGGGCAGAACATGCATTTTTAGTGAAAAAAGGATGAGGAAAAATGGATTTGAAGCCTCAGAGCCTCATGGAAATGGAAAAGCTTCTCTGAACACCTGCAGGTTTGGCAGGAGGATGGAGAGGACTTTCCCCCCATGCAAAGGTCCCCTCATGTCTCACAAGCTGGGGGGTGGAAATGAGGCTGTTAAACCCTCCGACTCTTACATGGAGCAATCAGAAAAGGAGCATTTTGGGAAGGAAACAGGCAAAACAGATGGGAGAGCATCTCTCCCTTCCGCAAAACGAGAGCCTGGGCTCCACAGAGGACTGAGCATGGATTTGGGAACCGGAGAGCCAAAACCCCAA